CAAAATTTTCATCTGCTCGTTCATAAGCAACACATGCTGTGTCATCTTCACGGTCACATGAAGACAAATTTGGGAGGTTTTGTAGGAAGGAAATTTTGAGACATTCAAACACATGACTATATTCGTCCTGCTTAAAAAAAAACTCACTTCTTGGAGAGAATAAGAAATAATTTTATCTTCCAACTAGGAATCTGAGTCTTATATGTCACTTAGAAAAAATTCAGGAAGCCAGGCTGCGGACTTCAATAGAGGGCAATTTTTCATCAGCCCGGTCTGTCAAATTCATTTTATTTCACAAATTGGACAGCCGTATCTGTGTGTTCTCTATCAGCCATAAGAAAATGGTATTCTTTTGATTGGTAGTATTGGGTTTTATTTTGGGATGTTCTCGCTTTTTATCAAGGGTGAGGAAAAATATCTAGACGGTATTCAGTATTTTTGAAAGCACATGATATTTACAAACGATAAGACCAGAATAAAACCTCAGGCATTTGGTAGACACTATTTCATGAGCCTCAGAACTAGCTGTGAGACAAACCAGAGGCAGAGACAACAAATATTTACTGAGGGCCTGCTGTGTGCCAGGAAAGTGTCATTTATAAGCGTCATCTCCTCTAGCCCCACAAGCCCTAAGAAATGGGTTCTCTTATCCCCTTTTGAAAGGTGAGAAAACTGAGCTAGGGAAAATGAGTGGCCAAAAGTGGCACAGAGGAGAAATGTAAGGAAACCAGGATTCAAATGTAGGTCTGTAGCTTCAACACTCATGCTCTGAGCGGCTAACAATGAGGAAAAAAAATCTGGAAATAATCTAAATGGCAACACGGGAATTGACTGAATCAGGTAGAGTGTATCCATACAAAGCAGTCATGGCAACGGATAGTAAAGATCTACTTTTATTGACACAAAAATATGTTACCATGTCAAATAAAAGATTATAAACACAGAATATATGATCCTTTTGACATATACATATAACTTCGTATGTATATTTGCATTTAAAAGCTTATCACTGGGGGCACCTGGGTGGCTCAGTGCGTTAAACCTCTGCCCTCGGCTCAGGTCATGATCTCAGGGTCCTGAGATCGAGCCCCGTGTCGGGCTCTCTGCTTAGTAGGGAGCCTTCTTCCCCCTCTCTCTCTCTCTCTCTGCCTGCCTCTCTGCCTACTTGTGATCTCCCTCTCTCTGTCAAATACATAAAATCTTAAAAAAAAAAAAAAAGGTTATCACTGGATGGCAGGACCAAATTAGGTTCTTTGTGACTTGTTTTTACTTTTTTTGTGTTTTTATTACTGAAGTTCTTTTTGCAAACTAGGAGTAACAGAATACAATAAAGAATACTTATTCAAAACAAAAAAAAAATATGTTTGGGGGCCAAGGGGAAATACTGGAGGCATCACCAACCAAGCTAGGCATAAAAAAATTATATCCATTGTTATTGCTACTGTTCAACACTATTCTGGAGGATCCAGCCAATACAATAAAAAAAAAGGATGAGACAAAACCTCTAGTTCTTAACTTTAAGATTACCTATCTAAAAAATTCTAAAGAAGCCACCAAAAAGCTATTATTTAATAAGACCATTCCATGGGTGCCTGGGTGGCTCAGTCAGTTAAGCACCTGCCTTTGGCTCAGGTCATGATCCCAGGGTCCTGGGATCCAGTCTCACATCAGGCTCCCTGCTCAATGGGGAGTCTGCTTCTCCCTCTCCCTCTGCCTGCTTGTGCTCTCTCCCTCTCACTTGCTCTCTCAAATAAACATAATCTTTAAAAAAAAAAATAAAGACAGTTCTAACGTGATCCAATATAGATATATCAAAGCTTTACAATGGGCACCAGGAGTTGGCAAACTTTTTCCTTATAGGTCACAGGGTCAATACTGTAGGCTTGTGGGCCATGTGGTCTCTGTAGCAACTTCCCATCTCTGCTGCTGTAACACAAATGCAGCCATCAACAATGCCTACCTGAATGGATGTAGAGTCTCCCAATGAAACCTTAGTTCCAAGAATAGGCAGTGAACTAGATTGGGCCCACAGGCCATACTTTGCTGACCCCTACTTTACACCACCAAACACCCCCCCCCAAAGAAAACCAGTTGATGGAGACGACTTACCATTTAAAGCAGCAAGAAAATATATAAAGACTTAGAAATAACTTTCTGAAGGGCGATTCAGCTGTACGTACACATCAAAAATTAAACTGTGACAACTCTTTCAATACAACAACTCCACTTCTGGAATACGCATGGATCTTTATGACAGTGTTATATAGAATAAGAAAATATATCTATTGACATTAACTGTGTCTATGAGAAAGACACCATTTTTAAAGTACATGACAGGGTAGTACGCCTAATTTTAGCTAGGTTTTTAAATAGATGGCTGTGCACATGAAGGTTCGCATATATACCCACAAATGGAAAAAAAAAAACAAACCTAGAAAGATGTATACCCAACTGCTCCATTAGCAGTTATTCCCATGGGTGGATTTATGAGCAACTTTCTTGTTACTTTTTTGCATTTAATTTTTGGTTCTTTGTACTTTCCCAACTTAGCTTAGAAGTAAAGTTTTTCATTTTTAAAAGAAGGAAGCGAACAAAAAAACCTCTGTGTGCCTCTCAACAATTAAGTCATAGTTCTATGAATGCTCAAGGATCTCATACACAGTGTCCTCAAATAAAAAGCACATTGGTACTGATTTTCATTTTCACATTAAGACACCCCTAGGAAGTGCTTTAAATTATTCTAACTGCTTCAATGCCCTGAAGATAGAAATCTTCTGACTCTAACTAACATGTAAGGAGCATCTATCTGCAAATCTTATCTTTTTCTTATCCTTCAGTGACACCTGTGCACACATCTCTCTGTCTAGGAAGAAAAGCCAAAGAAGGTAAACAGGAAATAGGCAAGAATGGTAGGTGAAGGATAAATGTGTGTTAATATCATACAGGGAAATCATTATTAGCAAATTCATTTTTCAAGGTCTTATCGTTCTATAGTATGGGAACCTGCCCTGTTGGGTTAGGGGAAAACCGACATTATAGCACATACTTATTCTAACTTATGAAACTTTTAAGTCCTCCTCGAGAATTTAAGTCCATACAATTTATATTGTGGATAAGCTGTGAAGCTTAAGTACATTTTCTTTACAACTGACAATAGGTATCTAATTACTATGCCAATAGTTATAGTTATTAAAACATATGTAAATTGAGACATTTAATTTTCATGTACTTAAAATCTTGGGGAAATGGAGATGGAGTAGAAAGAAAAATGATGATATACATATTATCAGAAATTCCTTCTGGAGTTCTGAAGTCTCAAATATCCAAAACAAGGGGGAAAATTTCAATAATGGAAGAGAGAAAATATACCTTTTCACTTCACATTTGATCTGAAAGTTTCTCGGAAAGATCTTTTCTAAAAGCTCTAGATCCTATTATTTTACATAATGGATGAAAAACAAAAGCTTTAGGGGGCTGAGTTAAGCAAATGCAATGCTCTAAATGTCAGGCTACAGCACAGGACTACCTCAGGCTACCAGAGAGAGCGAGAAGCTTCTGGCGCTAGAATGGCGCTCCCTCCCTGCTCAAGGATGACTTCACCTGTGACTGTGCCCAGACCTGTGCCCAGACCTGTGACTGTGCTACCCTATATGGCAAAGGCACCTTGCAGGTGGGATTCAGTTAAGGATCTTGAGGTAGAGTGATCAGGTCACTGAGTGGGGCCTTACCTCTCTAAATAGAAGAGCCTTTTCATCAGAGAGAGAGAAAGAGATGTGAGGAAGGAAGTCAGAGGTCAGCTTGGAGAGAGAGCTGAAGATGCGACAGTGCTGGCTGTAAAGATGCAGCAGGGGCCACAAGCCAAGGAGAGAAGGTGGCTTGCATGAGCCAGAAAAGGTACAGCATTCAGTCTCCCCTCGAGCCTCCAGAAGCCCTGCCAACTCATTTAGACTTCCAACCTCGAGAATTTTAGGATGATAAACTTGTGTTGTTGACAACCAAAAAGCAAAAAAATAAAAATAAATGAAATAAAAAATAAATAAATAAAATTCTAGGTGTTATGTGGTGTAACTTAGTTATCAAAAAGAAAAAATACACATTTTTTAAAGATTTTCTTGCTTTATTTGAGAGTGAGAGAGCAGAAGCAGGGGGAGAAGCAGACTCCCCACTGAGTGGGGAGCCCCCCCCCCAATGCAGGGCTCCATCCCAGGACCCCGGGATCAGGACCTGAGCTGAAGGCAGACACGTCACCAACTGAGCCACTCAGGCACCCTAAAATATACATATTATTGTCTTTCCGAAACAGTTACCTTATCTGGCCTTAAAATCTCCCTACTTCCATCCTGAAGTGCCTTCCTCCAATAGCTTAGCATAAAAAAATAAATGTAATGCGAAGAGAAGTTCCTCTAGTAAAAGACTTTTCCAAGTTTTAAAGTGTGTGTGTGTGCACGCACACATGTATATGTGTCCGTAGGCATATGTGAGTATGTGTGTGTGAGCCTGTCGTTACCACAGAGGCCATGGGAGAAAAGAAAGTCCCCCCAGAACCAAGTCAGAAGTTAACAGGAACAATATGACAAACACAAGGTCATCCTGAGTTCTCAAAAGACAATGAGGTGTTAAGTACATTTTGTAGCCATGAAAATCCAGGACATAAATAAACATGTGACTGTTTGCTCTGAACACAACCAGTAAGTATATTATATAAAACAACTTTCATTAACTATTCCTTTGTTCCCAATCTCAAGGAAATGCTAGTTATCCTTCAGCAGAATTTACCATTAGTGAATGCAAACAAAATGTAGCCTCTGCTAGGCTTATATTTGAGATCTGGGAGACTGAAATCCCACAATTTTCCTTTTAATCTTCCATTTTAAAAAATCTTGGAAATGAATTTAATATAGTTAAAAAGCAAGCAGGCATGCTTCAAATCCAAAACTGTGTTTTTCCTGTCAAGTACTGCTCTCTGTAAAGTGCGTCACCAAACCCCGGTAGAAACTTACCCTTCAACTTGAGGTCCACGTTATGTCTCAGCCAAGGGTAAACCCCATAGCTTGGCATATCTTCAGGAATCGGATTACTGTTTATCCAGCCATCACAAGCAAACCGGAAGAAATTATCACAAGGGTCCACAGAGAAATTTACTTTACTCAAGATGGCAGCAGCTAGTTAAAAAGAAAATCATAGGATTAATGACAAGCAGTGAATGCTGCGTACTGTTCCCTTCCAAATTAAACGACCATTTCCTATCAACCAGTTCCCCAGCCTTAGCTTTTACTTTTCCTCTCAAATGACTCCCTGAATCAACTTCACTCTATTAAATTACTGTATTCAGATTGAGTGGGTAAAAGCTTGGTGGTATTGGTGTTAATGGTTTTTGCAGGCATGGGATAGGAATGCAAATGGAGCTTACGGTAAATTGTTTGCAAGGATGTGTGCTGTATTTCCTTCCATCCCTCTCAACCTTCCCCGGGGTCACTCGCAACTCATCCCATCCGGCGACAGGATCTATTTTCCCTGCCTTGAATCTGGGTTGGCCTTGTGACTTGCTGTGACCAACAGTATACAGCAGAGGGACTGCTGGAGTTTCAAAACTAGGCCTTAAAAGGGCCTTGTTACCTTCTACATAAACTTCCTTTGAATGGAGCCCTGAGACGGCCCTTTGAAGAAGCCTCCCCCGGAGGAGGTGAGGCGACATGGAAAATAACCCGTCAGCACCAAGTGCCAGACCTGTGACCGAAGCCATCATGGACGCTGCAGGCCAGAGGACCCTCCAGCTGAACGCAGCTGTATGAATGGGCCTAGGCAAGAGCCGCAGAGGAACCCCCGATTAAGCCACAGAATTTGAAGAAATACTCAATCGCTCGTGTTTCAAGCCTCAAAGGTAGTTTGTTCCACAGCATAAGCTGAGTGAAACTAAGGCCCATAAGTCATATTGAAACATTTAAAAGAGGCATGTACAATATACCTCCATAAAGACCTGGAAAGCCACCTATGAATTCCTGAGCCCCTGGACGTTCAGCGTAGCTCTCAGAGGAATGAACCCCTAGAAGAAACCCCCACAGGCCCTGCAGGGAGGCTCAGGGCCATTTAGCAGGGAATTCAGCCTCGTAAAAGGATACAGCTGCTGACCTGGCCCCTGGACCTGGCCAGAGGAGGGGAGTATGTGTGTAAGTTAACAGAAAGACACAACAGACTGGTTTACCACTCTTTCATAAGCCCACACACAATTACATATGTAATACAGTCAACAGGGAGGAAGTTTTTGCATACTTAAATACGTATCCCTGAACGTTAAAAAAAAAAAAATCTTTCACTAAAAAATGAGAAGGTAGGGGCGCTTGGGTGGCTCAGTGGCTTAAGCCTCTGCTCAGGTCATAATCTCAGGGTCCTGGGATCGAGCCCCACATCGGGATCTCCGCTCAGTGGGGAGCCTGCTTCACCCTCTGTCTCTCTGCCTGCCTCTCTGCCTATTTGTGATCTCGGTCTGTCAAATAAATAAATAAAATCTTTAAAAAAAAATGAGAAGGTTCTTATGGCATCTGGGTGGCTCAGTTGGTTGAGTGTATGACTTCAGCTCAGGTCATGATCTCAGGGCCCGGAGATCGAGCCCCACATTAGGCTCTACGCTCAGCAGAGAGTCTACTTGTCCCTCTGCCTCTCTCCCCGCTTTGTGCTCACTCATGGTCTATCTCCCACATGCATGTGCTCCTTCTCTCAAATCATAACATCTTTTAAAAAAAAATGAGAAGGTTCCAAAATTCCTAATATTCAACTCCAACTCCCTGCCAACTGTCATACAACTGCTGGCTACCTCTCTAACACAAAGATATGCACCAATTAAAAAAAAAAGTGGGGGGCAGCCAGTATTTTAATGACATTGGAAAGATGACATTCTGGGTAATTTTCATACTTCAATTAATGCCAGGATATATTTATTTGAAGTAATGAAAACCCAATGAGTTGTCAGCTAAATATGAAGGAATTGCCAAAAAAAAGTATCATCAGCATATATGTATATATGCTGGTTATCAGTTTGGTTACATGTGTTCTCCAGGTTTAAACTAAGGCTATTTTTCTAGCCTAGACTTGCTATGAAAATTTTCAAGAGCTTTTTGTCCTTGATAAAGTGAATGATATAGACATATCCTCAGTTTCTACAGGACTTCAAAATCCCCAGCACTTTCCCCCTCCCACAAAAAATCAAAGCAAAAAAATACTGGTTTAGAGGGGTGCCTGGATGGCTGTCAGTTAAGTGTCCAACTCTTGATTTTGGCTCAGGTCATGATCTCGGCGTTGTGAGACTGAGCCCCGAGTCAGGCTCTGCACTGAGTGTGGAGATTCTCTCTCTCCCTCTCCCCAACCCCTCTGCTTGTGCTCTCTCTCTTAAAAAAGAAAAAAAGGAAAATGAAAAACTGGTTTTAGAAGTTTGATAAATTTAAAATTGGCTTAATATTTTCATCTTTGAGAATTAGTTCAATGGTCTCCAATTATATTTTTACTTACTGCTACTAGTTTATTATTAATTACTATGCAAATAAACCAGGACATACCAAATCTTTATTTCAGTTTGTATTTATAATAATTCTGGCTGTGCCACCACAGAATGAATCTACTATGCAACACCCCAGGCACAGACATTATTCAAGTTTCCCTGCCACACAATATTTACAGTCACACAGGAGCACCTGGGTGGCTCAGAGGATTAAGCCTCTGCCTTAGGCTTGGGTCATGAACTCAGGGTCCTGGGATCGAGCCCCACATCGGGCTCTCTGCTCAGCAGGGAGCCTGCTTCCCTCTCTTTCTCTTTGCCTGCCTCTCTGCCTGCTTGTGATCTCTGTCAAATAAATAAAATAAAATATTTTTTAAAAATATTTACAGTCACACAGAAGAACCCTCATACACATTTTTATTCACATAAGCACATTGTTTTTTGGCAGCCTTCCCAAACCTCCCCCTGCCCCAGCCTAAAACATATCCAGCATTGTTGTAGGTACCTACAAAATCTGCAAGATCAGCTCTGACCTCAGCCTTGACATAGAGCAGGGAAATACATCACTCACACAGAATTTGGAAGTCAGCCCACTAAGTGGGAAAACTCTAGTTTCAACCTCCCAATTCATCATTCATAATTCACAGCTGGGCACAGGGCTGCACTTTCTGGAGGAGAACGGTGACTTCAAATTTCAAGGGACCATAGTTGTCAAGACACCACAACTCCTTTTCCCCTGCTCAGTTCCATGGAGAAAACTCAAAGAGACTTGTTTTAATAAAGAAATATGAGGATCAAAGAAACCTGTGAAAGGCCCAACTATGTGTTCTCTCAAGTTACTGCATATAAGGTCAGGGATTACGGGGTCTCTTACTAGTGCTTATGCCGAGGTAGAGGCACCACACCCCATGTACCAGCCTGAGCTTTTAAGTTTAATCAGGGCTCAAGGGAGAGGGTGGTGCTAACAGTAAATTCATTAATACTGAGCATTTCCTCTGCACCGGGAACCATGCTAAGCCCTTTTCAGAAAGTTCAGCATCATCTGGAGCCAGACAGCCTGGGTTTAAGTGCCAACAACACCATGCAAAGCTATGTAACCTTGTGCAGGTTACTTAACCTCTCTGTTTCCTCATCTATAAAAAGAGATAATAACCGTAACCCATGGGATCTTCAGGAGAATTAAATGAGTCAATACACATGAAGTGTCCAGAACGGTGTCAGGCACACGACAAATAGGATTGCCAGATAAAATACAGAATGCCTAATGAAATTTGAATTTCTTATCCATGATGGCTTTTACAGTTTAAGTATGTACCAAATATTGTAGGGGACATATACCAAAAAATAGCAGCCTTGTTGTCTATCTGCAATTCAAATGTAACTGAGCAGCCACGTATGCACGTAGCTAAAGCTGGCAACCTTACCTACAAATTTTTGCTATTATAATTCCAGAAACACTCATTTGAAACTCTTGAGTTACTTTTCAGAGCTTATAGGCTTTCAGGTTTTAGAAAACGAATACAGTGCAGAGACCACAGCTCAAATACTACCTCCAGCAACGTCTGGAGTGGCACTCCTGAAACAAGCACCTTAATAATTACATAGGAAATATACGGATATTTTCCTAGGTGGTATCAACAAAGTCTACAACAGTCTCCCAGAAGTTAAGAGTTAGTTTTGCCACCACAAGAACTGAAATCAGGTCCAGTCTTGCCAACTGACGGTTAGTTACAATGTTCTCTGGGTCTGGGGTTAAGAATCACACACTGTAGACCTGGATTACTACTACAACCAGCACTACTATTTTCTCCCAATCTCACACCTAATATGCTGAGTTAGAACAGCATTCTCATTTTATAGATGGCAAGCAAGAGGCTCTGGATGGTTATTTAATCAACCCAGTATCATGTGGCTTTTAAGTGGCCAGATCATGCTTCAAACCCAAGTCAGCTTGTCTGCCCTTATCTGTATTTGGCACACCCTTTCCTTGTAATTTTTTCCACCTTTATTTTGAAAGAGGGATTCGGAGAAGAGGAAATGGACAAGAGGAGGAAAAAAAGAGCTATGGAGAGGAGACATTCAGAAACAGGTGGCACCTGCTTAGAAATGGTCCAGAGGTCATCAAACGCTTCCAACTTCTGAGCTTCCATCCTGCATGACCAGACACGCACGCACACACGCACACACCCCCTTACGCACGCACGCACCCCCACCACGCACGCACGCGCGCCCCCACCCACTCTACCTCCCGCGCATGGCTTTGTGCTGCTTCTCATTTGAAACCTTCCCAGGGGCCCATGTATGCAGTGTGTACCTAACAGCTGTTCTGCAGGTCCCTAATCACAGTGAGGTTCATGTTATACTGAAGAGGATATATCCTTGGTGAGCCTTTCGTCACAGAGACAGAAAAATCAGTGTTTTTTTCAATATTAGAAAGCTGTTCACCAACGTGAAAATTAAAAACAGAACAGCAAGGCAAAACAGACTAGCTGCCAGGAGACGACATAGCAAATGGCATTCTGTAAGGTTTACTCTTGCGTTATTACGATTTGTAATAAAGAGAAAACTCATACGCTATGTGGCTCTCCATACCCAAAGTTGTCTAACTCAAATTGAAAATTTTTCAGTTCAGAAAATCTCACTCTCACACATCTGCAGGGACCCAACCACAGCAAAATCACAAGGTGACATGAAGTCTAAAATGTGACCTCTGACAGTCCACCTGGTGGTCCACTCTACTTCAAGTCATCCCTTCCCACTGAAATCCCCTAGGTCAGTGGCTCAAGCTGCAAACAGGAAAGGGTATGGGAATTCCCAAATTGTTCTCACCCTTTCTGGGATAAGATCGAGAAGCTGAAACTGTTATCCAGTCACCAGACTCTGGTAGGTCTATCGTTATGAAAAAGGCAAGACAGGACCAAGGCTGAAGAGTTACCAGGTATGGCCTTATTGCACAAAAGCACTGATGGGAGAGCAGACAGACATGAACTTGAAGCCCAGCGCAGCACCAAACTCAGGATGCGATCCTGGGCAAATTATTTAGCTTCCAGAAGCTTCCATATCCTCATCTGTAGTTGGGTCTGGTGATAGCACTGACATCATGGGGTTCTTATGAAGATTTTATGAGATAGCAGCATATGTAAGTCACTTAACACAATGACTGGTTAAAAATATATATATTGATCACTTTAAAAAGGGACAAAAAATAACATACTGTCTAATCCATTACCTCTGTATAAGGCCTCTGAATTTAAAAGCTCTTTTACCCAAGTCTTTTCTAACTCAGCTAATGCCACCGCCAAAAATCTAAGCATCACCTTGATTCTCTGCTTTTTCTCACAGCCCACTTCAAATCCTTTGGCAGCCCTCTGGCTCCTAAACCCTCGACACTCTGCCTTTCCATCTCTGGAATTCAAGAAAGCATCGAGTCTCATCCAGCTTACCGAAATAACCTCCCTCCTGACGACCTTCTTCCATCTTGCTCCCTGTGGTCTGTTCCCCACCCAAGAAGACTCTCCTGAGTCTAGGTGTGCATGGAGAGATCGTTTAAATGCTAATAAGATCATGTCTCTGTCTTTACTGAAATCTTTCCGAGGCTTTTCAGCACACTTAGGAAAAACCCACACTCGCTGACACCCCGGTTCCCCACTAAGCCTCTCATCACCTGTCCCCTATGCAGTTAAGTTCTTCCGCTCTGGGACCTTTGCCTCAGCTCTTCCTGTACCTGGAAAGCCCTTTCCTTGATCTTCACACATGTCCCTTCTCATCATTCAGGGTCATTTCAACATCATTTCCTCAGACTTCCCAATCTAGCCATCCTGTCCTTGCTATCACATTACTGTACTTGAATATTTTAATTTTCTGCACAACATTACAACCAGCTGATCTTTTTCTTCCACATTGATCACCTTGTGTTTATTGATGGTCTTTCTTCCCCTACCTGGTCATTCAAGTTCACTGCTAACTCAGAGCCTGACTTGGAATAAATATTTGGCAGATTATTTCACTAATCTCTTAAGACCAAGAGGAAAGTCAAAGGGCCGTGTGCTTAACTAATCCTTATGACTCTCCCCTTGGAAAATGCACTAGTGTTCGTGCCCATGTGCCCACTTAAAGAAGAGGGGTGGGGCGCTGGAATCTGGGTCCTGCAAATCTAGGCCCTAGTCCTATTCCCTCTTCCCTATAGAGGGAATATAATGGCTGTGCCAAAACGGAGGTGAGTTTAAACACTCATATTCACTGTGGAGTACCCACTGATGCATGGCCCTTTAACCTCAAGACAAGCTTGACTTGTAATGACCCAAAGTGACTTCAGGTGATAGTGGAAGCGATGATTGATGGAGGATCCCTGCTCAGAGGCAGACAGGTCAGACCCACCGACCAAATGATACAGAGAGACTGCTTAGGGTAAACAGGGACCTATATCCAGTTGAGACCATAGGAAGGCTGATGGTTTCTCTGTTCGGGTCTTAAGAAAAGCCATTTGGCCTTCCAAGCCCCTTCTAGATTTTCTTATAATGACTTGGAATACCACACAGCTGGTTTTTTTTGCAAGGAAGGGAAAAACAGGAAACCAATACTCCACAATTTCACACTGAGCGTTTACCATCGAAGGTAAACTGAAAGGTTCATCAAAATTGCATTTTGTACTTGGTAAACCTCAAACAAACCGAATACTAAAAATACCACCTGTTTCCTCTTCCTTTCCCCAAGGTACCATAATGATAACTTGACACAGGAAGGAAAACGGACTTACCAGCTTCGATGCATTCTGGCTTCAGGCAGTACTCCTGCTTAGCTTGGAGACTTAAGAAACCTTGACTCACTGGAAAAACAGACCAAAATAAAGAAATGACTGTCTTGTAGCAGACCCCCGTCAGGTAACCCACAGTCAGGCACATATGCTAGACATCTGATATCAGTTCGTCTTTCTCAGCATTGACCCGGAGTTCAAAAATCCAGGGGGCTCGGTATCACCGAACCAGATTCTGGTCACAAGCAAAGTAACCTTGGTGAGACTCGGCTGCTCTGAAATTGGGTTCTCTAGAATATAAGAGGAGTGGATACAATCAGATCAGTGCTTCTCAGAGTGGGGTGCCCAAGCCTCGGGAGCAGCATCCCCTGGCAGCTCGTTGGAAAGACAAACTACTGAGCCCTACCGCTGACCTGAATCAGCAAGTCTGGGGGTGGGGCCCAGCCATGTGCTTTTTGGCAAAGCCCTCCAGGTGATTCTGATACACACTCAAGTTTGAGAGCCACTGGGCTAGATGATCTCTCAAGTCTCTTCCATCTCCAGTTATCTATGATTTAAGTCTCATAATTTCACTCTTTGTGTTTACAACTACATTCCTGTTTTAGAGATGGGGGAAAAAATGAAACTTACAACTCTGTCGCTTGGAGCAAATCCAGACTGGAAGGAGAAAAATAGCATGCGTGGCATTTAAAGTTCTGAATCTTACCTAAACCATCCATAGACGTGTGTGTTATGGGGGGGTACGCCGTATATTATTCAGTCATCTAGCAAGAGAGTCATGATATGCCGTGTACCCCACACACCCTCCTCCCACCAAGCTCAGCCTAGCTACCAGACATGCGGCTTCAGAACAAAACAAAAACCCTGCGAGACAGAATTAGCTTTTCACCAATGGCTTAATTGTCCCCATCTGGCTGACAGTATTATCTAAATGGATTTCTGCAGAAGTACAGAAGGGCGCCCTATTTGTAAACTCCAGGCAACACCTGGACATTAGCAGATGTGAGTTTAGATTTCAAAAATATTTTTGGTAGCCAAGGAAGTTATGGAAATTCATGACTGCTGTACTCTGTGAGCAGAAATAAGGAATCATTGGAGATGTGGCTGCGGAGAGATGAGTGGTGGGGGGTGAAGGGGAGCCAAGGCCTTTTGTGGCCTCCTCAGCGGAGAAGCAGGATGAGAAAGCATGGCGGTACCCATGTTTCTGATAGAGACAGAAGGCCTGTATGTATCTCTTGCCAGTGTGGTGATTTGTATTTGTTATTAACCCACATTCTAAGAGGAGCCTGCTTTTTCTTTGTTCTTTTCTCTGCTGCCATCCTCCAAACAGCCATTTTACTTGTGTTACATTATACATATAATAAAAAAATAAAAATAAAAAATATATAAAAATTTTTTTTTTAATTTAAAAAAAGAAAATTGCCTATGGAGCATCTCAGGTCTATTTTTAAGAAAAGAAGTATCTTAGGGGTGCCTGGGTTTCTCAGTCGGTTGGGTGTCCAACTCTTGATTTGAGCTCGGGTTCTGATCTTGGGTCCTGGGATCAAGCCCTGCATCAGGCTCCACACTCAGTGGGGAGTGTGGTTTCCATCCCTGACCTCCCCTCCCAGGTTGCTGTCTCTCTCTCTCTCTCTCAAGGGAATAAATAAATCTTTTTAAAAAGATTTTATTTATTTGAGTGAGCGAGCATGAGAGAGTGGCAGAGGGAGAGGTAGAAGCAGGCTCCCCACTGAGCAGGGAGCCTGATGTGGGGCTCGATCCCAGGACCCTGAGACCATGACCTGAGCCAAAGGCAGAGGCTTAACCCACTGAGCGACTCAGGTGCCCCAGAAACAATAATATTTTTAATATAAAAAAAGAAAATGTTACTTTTTACTGATTAAGTGCTTTAAAAAACACTTAAGGAACAGTTTGGTTTCTCATTTTAGATTTTTCTCTAACTAGTTAGAAATGACTCAGAATGCAGTGGAGTCATCCACAGACCAACAGTGTGAGAATGACCATAAAGTGGGGGGTCAGCAAACTATGGCTCATGAGCCAAATGCAGTCTTCTGCCGGTTTCTATACAGCCCGTGAGCTAAAAATGATTTTTACATTTTTTAATGGTTGGAAAAAACCACAAGAAGAATAATATTTCATAAAAATGATCTGAAATTCAAATTTCAGTATTCAGAAATCAAATTATATCAGAATACAGTCATGCCTATTTGTGTACATATTTGTCTGTGGTTGCCTTCTTGCTATAAGAGAGTCAAGTAGCAGAAGTAGACACTGGATGGCCCAGAAAGCTGAAAATATTTACACTCTGGCCCTGCACAGAAAAAGTTTGCCAACTATTACATTTGAGGAATAGACTGTGGGGAGGAAGAAGGGGGGAAGGAGGTAGAGAAGAAAGGACCCCTTAAAATAAACTGGTTATGGTTATACCTGTCATTTTAGATTCTAGTTTTCTAGCTTCTCTGAGACCTCCCCAAGGCCAATGGCGGTCACTCTTACTGTAGAAGGACTCAGGTTTAGGAAAGAGATTAGCCCAGAGCCTAAAATACAAAGAAGTAAGGAGGGATGCTAGAAATTGCAGGCATGTGCCTAAATTTGGACAGACAGAAAAATACCAACCAGGAAGCGCCTTGAAGACGACTTAACCAGAATATTGTCACGAAGAGCATTGCCTTGCAGGTCCCTGGAGATTTTCAGACAAGGACTTTTCACTAAGTGCACGGTGGAGGTGGGTGGCAAAGCCTGGGGGACTAGGCAGTGAAGAAGGCTGGGGGAAAGAGGTCTGAAATAGTGTAGAGATGTTTGACAAAAACCTCCTGAAGACTGTGCATTTTTCTGAAAGCAAATATCCCCAAATACAGACATCCAAGGGGACGTTGTCAGCTAGAGCAAGGCATCTCAGACTTAGTTTGCAAATGAATCACCTGGGGATCTTATGGAAATGTAGATTCTGAATCAGTAGTTCTTGGGGGGGGCGCCTCAGGCTTCCAAGTGGGGTGCATGCTGCCAGTCCAAGGGCAACACCGAGTAGCACAGGTGTAAAGAGGCTATACTTTTATTCTCTGACATCATTAGAGCTCCTCTTAGAAATCTGCAGTGAGAGCCAGGTAACTGGCATACTGCAAATTATTGTTTTCTGCTCTAGGCAGGCCTCCTTACCCATAGTATTGCCTGGCTTCATGAATTTTACTGTGCTCTAAAAACTTTAGAGCTGTTTCTGAATAATCATCTCCTCTCAAGGAACAAAAGATTTACTGCCATTGAAAATATTCCAACTAGGGGTGCCTGGGGGACTCAGATGATTAAGCATCTGCCTTCAGCTCAGGCCATGATCTCCAGGTCCTGGGATCAAGCTCAGCTTCTACCTTCCAGCGCAGTGTGGACTCTACTTCTCCTTCTCCCTCCGCCTCTCCCCCTGCTGGTGCTCTCTCTTGTCTCTGTCTCTCTTTCAAATGGATAAATAAAATCATAAAAAAAGAGAGAGAGAATATTTCAACTAATACATAACAGCCTCAGAATACAGTCGTTCTTAAACAGTGGAATTTCAAATGCTTCAAGCTGCAGAAACATCATTGAGAAGAGTACGGATTTTTACATAAACGATCATCCTTTGGATTTTGAAGTTTGGGAGCGTTCGCGAAACACAAATAGTCTAACTTTGTACTCACTTCCCACATTGTATGCAGTTCCCATATGGGCATGACCATATCATTTTCCTCTCCTTTGAATTTCAGGAGAGAACACATGTCTAAACCCAAGTGCCGAGAAATCTCGGAAAAGTTTTTGAGAACCACAAATTCAGCTGCGGGAGTAGGAGGTTTAGCTGTAGCAGAAAGCAATAAACCTATCTAATTTCCGAAGTCTGCAGCCACAGAGAACATGGAAAGATGGTTTGCTGGTTTTAGCAGAGTTTTCAGCAACACAACCCTAACTCTTTTCAAGTCGAATCACTGGTTTTCCCTTGCCAGGATAAACATGGCCTCCTGCAACCTGTGCGAGCCAAAGAACATTTCCAGGCTCGCTGCATTTCAGACTGCACCTCAAACCCCCTAAGGATAGAGACTTGTTCCCATATAGATTTCAAGCTCATGAAATAGTATGGGCTGTATGAGGAAAATACGAAGGCTAATAATCAAGGGTCCAGAATGCCGGCAACTTTAGAAAATCCATCTCTGCTTTTCATGACATTTCATTCTTATTCATAGGAATATGCTTTTCATCATCATACTCTCTGGGTACATCATTGTCACCAAGGGTCATTAAAATAATTGAATCACAATACCTTTCCAATGTTGGAAGGACAAGCTCTGTTTTCCTTCATATTAATTTTTAAATCTAGAAAGGCAGAGTTAAAATTTCATCCCACCAGAGTCACTGGATTAGAAAGGCATTGAGGAATATCATTAAGGAGCACATTTATTATTTTTTAAAGATTTTATTTATTTGACAGAGATCACAAGTAGGCAGAGAGGCAGGCAGAGAGAGGAGAAGAAGCAGGCTCCCTGCTGAGCAGAGAGCCCAATGCAGGGCTGGATCCCAGGACCCCAGGATCATGACCTGAGCTGAGGGCAGAGGCTTTAGCCCACTGAGCCACTCAGGCACCCCTAAGAGGCACATTTAAAGACTGCTTTGCATTTTTTTAAAATGTATTTAACAGAGAGAGATCACAAGTAGGCAGAGAAGCAGACAGAGAGAGAGGGGGAAGCAGACTCCCTGCCAAGCAGAAAGCCGGATGCGGGGCTTGATCCCAAGACCCTGAGACCATGACCTGAGCCGAAGGTGGAGGCTTTAACCCACTGAGCCACCCAGGCGCCCCTGTATTTTTTTTAAGTTCAAGTTCATGATTCATTCAGGCAAACATTAGCAAAACTCAAATGGAAAAAAATTTCCAGCATGGTTTTGATCACAACATAAAGTCTTTCCTCGCAAAATAAATGAAGGTATCTGACTATGAATTCATAACCCCTCATTTTGCTAAATGTAAAATGCAATGCGTAAAAAAAAAAAAAAAAAGAAGTTTGCGCAGTGCAACTGAGTCCTCCAGCCGCTGGAAGCCACTTGATACCCACTTGGCGTTTCTGGACTATACATCTGGTTGCACGTATTTATTTCTTTGACTTCCTAAAGAAAGGGCTCCTTTTCCTTCTGCATATTTAATAGAAGCTAAGGATACACCACCTACTCACACATTCAAACAGCCCTCCACCTGCCTCCTGACCACGTCTGCCGGAATAAAGCACAAGGAAATGTAACTGCACTCGCCCCATTTCCTGGCCTCCAGCGCCCCACTTACCTAGAAAGAGGATCGTACCCAGCACGAGGGTGCCGCCAATGAACACAGCCAGAGCGATTCGAGTGCCTCTGTTGGCGGTCTTTCCAGTCTCCGTGCTGCTCCCCATTTCTGCCTCCATCAGGAGGGACGCAGAGGCCACGCAAAGAGAAAGTCACTTTTTGTGGTCTGGTGGCTGGTCTCAAGAGTCTGTTAGGCGTTGACATCCAAGGTCCTCTTGTTCTTCTACTAATAGACAGCTGAAGAAGTCCAGTCAGGAAATCTTCCCTCGCCACCCTTTCTCAAATATTTCTCCACAAATGAAATAAAAGAAACCCCAAATATTGGTTGCCTTGGCTTTCCCCCTGACCAGACAAAACAAACAGTGGTTGCTTTATCTTGGTGCTCTCCCCCACCCCCCACCCCAGCAAAGTCGCTCGCAACCGATGATTTGGCAGGCTCTTCTCTCAGGCGTTCTGAGTGTACATGTTTTACTATGTGGCTGAACAGATGTTTTAGCTATTTAAATGTATAGTCACTTAGGGAGGAAAAAACAATTGTCTTTATCAAAACTGGATTCTCATCAAACTCCCCCAAACCGTGATAAGTTCGGTGGCGAGGATTCTCCGGCCCTGCTCTAAGGTCGCAGTGAATCACGTAATTCTTGTGCACTCATCATTCTGCTCGCCTAAACTGTCTCCATCCAAGCTATTGTTTCTGTGTGCAAGTCCCTTTTTAAAGCCCTCTAAAAGTTCCTGGGATATCCTGGAGCATTTTATTTTAGGAACTGGGTGTATGACGGCATGTGCCAAAAATCAGAGTCACAGTCCAGTGCAGTGCAAAGCAGCAATTAAGGCAACCTACAGAGGCTGATGGTTTGGACGGGAACTTTTTTTTTTTAAGGAGAATGAAAAAGCACTTCCTCTCTGTGGTGCTAGGAATTGGATAAAGGAGGGGTGAGCATTCAAATTAAGCTTATTAGCAACCACAGAAGAAATGGTACAAGATTTTTTTTTCCCTCCTGCATCTTTTGATGGAAAGTGCCCTCGTGTATTTTGCCCTCCGGGCCCACCAAGGCAGCCTTTGGTTAGTACAGTTTTGTGCTTCCGTGATACGCCCATTTCAGCGGATTCTCCAGGATAAAAATCAAAGGCGATTGGTTTCACCGGAAAGACGGAGTGAATGACTGGGTCTTTGATTTGTTCAACTATGCAAACAATTTAAATTATGAAAATCTGCTTTCTTCGTGGGGAAAGGCAACTGAGAGTCCATTGATACGAGTTTTATTAGCCAATGATACAGATATCATTGGTTCACAACACTGTTACTACTTAATTGTTTTTGTTTGGCTGACGCTCATAGGACAGCGGGAATGGGGGTAGAGAATTCGTCTGAAAACCAGTAGAGCACAGTTCTCATGCAGAACTTGTGCCCATGGCCTTGTGGGTCCCGCCGGAGCTCTGCAGAGGCTGTGGAGCCCCGCATTACATGGCCACGTGTTCACGGTCCTATCTGGCTGGTCTGGGTCAGGCCTTCTACCCCTGGCATGGGGTTCTTTCAAGGTTTTAGACTTATTCCAAAACACATCCTACCTCACTTTCTGCTCGTTTCATGTTGCCCCAAAGGCAGAAGAGCACAAGCCTTTGTCCAAATTATGACACCATAGTATGCTATAGATATTATGTGCTTATTACCTGTTGATGCTATTTTGTTGTTGTTATTCCATAACACATCTTAGCAGGCCTTTGGCTCCTACGATGGGATTCTCCCAAGAGATTTTAGACTTGAATCCATAGTACTTCTTAGACTGTGAGCTCTGTGAAGTCAGGAATCACATCCATCAAGTTCAATGCTATAGCCCCAGCATCTACATTTCATGGCCCACAATAGTGAAGGCAGAAATAAGAACAATGAAAATCAGACAAGTCAGCTCCCAGGTACTCACTCTTAAAAAGCAGCTTTAGGATGCTCGGATGTTAGTGTCTGGGTGTCCTGCAGCCTCCTAATTCCTTCACTAAATGCTCAAATGATAATGATATATCACAGAGGGACAGCACGTTTATTTCCCAGTTTAGCCTCATGGTGAAAGTATATGCTTGATAGCAAATGTCTTTTTAAGTCTGGTTTGCCATGAGAACACTGAGGCCCAAGGACTAGCCTCAAGCAGTACAGCAAACTCAGGAAAGGGAAAGTCAGTGAGGGGATCGCTGCCATACACTGTTGGTTTGCAGCTTGACAGAGTCCCTGTGCACGAGGGACAGGCCACCCACACAAGTGTTACACCACTTCTTCCTGCTTCCCTTTCTTCTCCAAGTCTCCCCACACTTTCCGGAACTAAACTGACAGGCAATGGTGGCTGCAGGTTGGCGATTAGGACTTATCCTGACATACAGCTATTCCTCATTTAAACAAGTAAATTCGTTCTGGAACACTCAACTGCAAAGTGAAAAGCCAGTAAACCAAAGAAGACTTCCATTAATCGTAATAGGAAAACTACAATGCATTCCATCCCAAACAAAGATACGCAAATGCAGAGAAGAAAATACATTAATTAAACAATGAAAACAAGCCTATAAAAGTAATAACTTTCAAGGTATTGAAAATAAATGCAGTTTGTTCACGTAATGCGAGTAATGAAGTTTTATTTTCCTCACCAAAGGAGGACTTGAGAGCAGGTGGGGATTGGCAGGAGAAAGGGGGCTGGTGAATTGTTCATTAGAAGGTGCATTCTTCATTCTGTGACATTTTCTGCATTAAGTTTTCAACCTTTTGGGAAATGTTGATTATCTGGCACTCAAACTGCATTTAAAAATAAACTTGTAGCACCAAAGGGTCACCTGGCTGTCTCAGTTGGTGAAGGGTGTGACTCTTGATCTTGGGGTTGTGGGTTCCAGCCCTACCCTGGGAGTAGAGATTACTTAAAAATGAAATCTTTAAAAAAAAAAAAAAAGAAGAGAAAAAGGTTGTAGCACAGAAAAAAAATACAGCAAAATAAAGAAGTTCAAAGTATAGAAAAATAATGAATGCTTACAGGAGACAAAAGCAAGGGTCTGCAAACTCAGGCATGTGGGCCAAATCTGGGCCACCACCTATTTTTATAAATAAATGTTATTGGAATAAAGTCACCCCCATTCGTTTACATATTGTCTATGATTGCTTTCATGCTACAAGGTCAGCGTTGAGTAGTTCCGTGACCCAGATATGGCCCATGGAACGGATTTACTCCCTGGCCCTTCACAGAAACCCCGGACTAAAGGGTAGTAGAAGATGCGCCTCTTATCCTCACCTACACTGCGCACTAACACAAAGCAAAATGTTCACCTGAACTTGACCAGCTTCACAGAATCGTTCTATTTAACGTTCTCTGAACACCAACTGTTGTGTCAGGGAAATTGGTCAATGTGTCTTTGAAACTGTAATATTAAAACTATGGCATATTATTTAGTGTGTTTTGGGGTGAAGTGTTATTCTGGGATAAAAAGGGGGGATGTCAAATAATGTTATAATTTCTCACGAGCCATGAAAATCAGTTAACTGAGAAGTCACTACACAGGTAAGTCTGCTTAATCATCTGGTCTGCCCCCGCTTGATTGTTTCCATTCAGAACCTCCAGGACTGTCCTGAGCTTTAACTGGAATCAGTCAATGGCATCCAGAGAAATTTCTTGGGCATTTCTCAGGTGGCTGGAAGCGTGCGAGGCCCTGTGAGGGCAGACGAAGAAGCCATGCCCGGGTTTCGGTAAACTGGGCAGTCATCGCAGCAGGCAAAGCCCTTGGCAACCAAGTTACAGAGCACTAAAGGCCAACATGTGTCCAGAGAAATACAAATCCCTGAATGACAGATCCACTGGGCAGAATTCCAGGGGGAAGTCTTGAGGGGATAGGCCAAACCCCAGCCAGCCTGGGACTCACCTGGACATTGACATCTCTCCCTGTAGGACTCCCAGGTAAGATTATTTATCCAGAGCTAATGGAATCCTGCAACCTTGGCCCAGCCTCAGTGGCCAGGATGACAAGCAAAGCGGAGTCTTTATGCTACATGAATGCATCTGGTCATTACTCAGAGGCGCCGGGCCTTCTGTTTTAGGCAGTAAAATCCCATGTGAGCTACAATTTCAGTGAGAAAGAAGGAAATGATTCAAAACCTGAAAAATGTATTCATCCATCCCCTGGAAGGAGGAGGGAGGGTGGGAGGGAAGGAGGGAGAAAAGGGAATGAAAATCTAGAGGACACAGACTCGGAACCGGCTGTGGCGGGGCTCTGTTATTTGTTGGCAGGCCCTTCAGACTAGGGAGGGTTCAAGTCCCAGGCCTCCCACTAATGAGACTCATTACTTACATTATATCTGATCTTTTTCAACATCTTTCTTAGCTGGATGTTCTGTCTCCTTTTACAGATGAGGAAACTGAAGTTTAGAGCTATTAAGCGATTGGCCCAAGGTCACACAGCAGGCATTTGTCTTCAAGCCTGAGAGGTTTCAAATTCCAACCTCTTTTCTCTCTGCCCCTACTTGATAAATTTGCTTATCTACCTCAGGTAATTAGTGAAGGGAGGTACAGCGTGTCAAAATGACACTTGAGACCCAGGGAAAGCGATAAACTACGCCTCCTCTAATTCTCTCGTCGAAAAAACTAATTATCAGGTTTCATTTCTTTCACAGGAACAGCAGCCATCATTAAATATGGGGAAAATCTTTTTTTGGTTGGGCAACAAGACTATCTCCTGATTTACTGCTGCTCATCATTGAACAAGGAAAGATATCTACCTTTGAAAGGCCTCCCAACCACGTATTGTGCTATTTGTTCACATCTGAGCTTAAAGGGGGATTTTATTTCTTGACTTTCTCACATCCTTGGCCATACAGCTACTATTTCTTCCGTGTGCACTCGCTTCGTGTGTGCTATTGTCAGTCCTGTGGTGGAGGAATCATGTGTTCTACAGATGGAACTCAAATCTGTCGAGCTCTTGTTGTGAAACGTACCCAAGATTTGTTTTAAACACAGGTACATGGGCGCCTGGGTGGCTCAGTGGGTTAAAGCCTCTGCCTTCAGCTCAGGTCATGATCTCAGGGTCCTGGGATCGAGTCCCACATCGGGCTCTCTGCTCAGCAGGGAGCCTGCTTCCTCCTCTCTCTGCTTTCCTCTCTGCCTACTTGTGATCTGTCTCTGTCAAAGAAATAAATAAAATCTTTAAAAAAAAAAAAAAAAAAACAGGTACAGGCAGTTGACCGACCCAGAGAAGGGCTTTGATAGAAAGGTCTATTACTCACAGTTTTCAAGAGGAAGGGGCACACCATGTCACACAGAGCCACATGGGGAAGCATCGGGGTTGTTCAGGCTGCAGGACGAGCAAGGGGGGTAAAAAAGGAAGAACCAGGGA